TGGGTATCCCAGTTGGGAGTCAAACGCAAATGACTCATTCAGCTGTCCACCTAACTATCAAGTTCTGTTGATAAGAGAACCAGTCCAATGACAGGAGACAGAGACCTTAGTCAAACTCATTCTGTCACACCACATCTTCAGAAGCAGACCCCTCTGAGGTTACCCAGTGACACAGCACTTAGATTATCTCCACGTCACTTTTTGTTTTGTTTTTCCAGAAAGAAAAGAAAGGAAGAAAAAGAGAAAAGAAAGAAAAAAAGATGTTAAAATATCTGGGGCGAAAATCAGTATGTTTTCTGGAGTTGGAAATTGCTGTTTTAATTCTCCCTTTGGGTAGTGTTTAAGTAAAGGGATTTGAATGATCAGTAAACTAATTTTCAAGTTACTTAAGCATGCCAAAATATGCTGACACACAGGGGAGTGAGGAACTAAGACACAAGAAGACACCAGTCCCTTTTCTACTGTTGCAATTAAGACATCACACACATTATCAAACAGTGAGTGACTAACTGGGTATTAGCTTCCGGAATGCAAAAAAAAAATTACATCCACATAGATGTACCTGGTATCCAAGGATAAGAATTTCAACACTAGAGAGGTGCAAAGATATAATGAGAGGAAACCACTATTATACATGAAAAAAAACCTCAACCTGAACAAGAATCCATGCCTGATGATATACTGGATTTTGTTTATTTTTTTATTTCATTCTTTGTAACCAGCCTATAGTCTCAGTCAATAAATAATCTGAACACATGTGAATTGAGTCCAGTATACTTTAATCAATATACTTGTGCAATTTTCTCTAATTCTGTAAAGATAAAATGATTGAGAAAAGGCCTAACAAGTGATATTTCAGTAATAGATGTTTGGAGCCATACAAGATTTTAGAGATTGTCTCTCCAACCCTCTCATGTTAACAGTGAGAAAATAATGTCAACTTTGAGGAGTTATAATAGATCAAATTTGGTTAGATTAAAAGTGAATTTTCTCTCATATGTTTCCCTATTAAACTATTAATTCCATGAAGGCAGAGACTGGATATGTATAGTAGGTGTATATGCAGTGTGTATGTATGTATAAATGCATGTGTGTATGTATACAGTACATAGTAGATATATCATAAGTACACAGTAAATGTCGAATGAATCGATGAAACTAATCTTGACTTTCTAAGATCTCAAAGAGCTAGCACCAGGGCCCAGCATCCTGAATTCTAGCATTCTCTAAATATTCTTATTCTCAGAACTTTTGTATTGGAACATAGGAAAATGGTTAAGTACCAACATAAGCCCTTCCAAGACTATACAAATTTAGGCTTTATATTCTAGCCAACTAATTAAGTTGTAATATTTATTTCTTCAGGGGTGCCTGGGTGGCTCAGTCATTTGAGCGTCCGGCTTCAGCTGAGGTCATGATCTCATGGTTTGTGAGTTTGAGCCCCGTGTTGGGCTCTGTGCTGACAGCTCAGAGCCTGGAGCCTGTTTCAGATTCTGTGTCTCCCTCTCTCTCTCTGCTCCTCCCCCACTCATGCTCACGCTATCTCTATCTCTCTCTCAAAAATAAACATTAAAAAAATTAAAAAAATTTACTTCTTCAAATAATAATTGAATTTCAAAGTAAAATCTTAAGAAAATTATTATAAAGTTTTCCCAATAAAACAGTTACATTTTAAAGTCCATAGTGTAAACCATGATTTTCTCTTTTTTAATGAAGATGTTATTTCTTGTAAAGAAATTTTAGTATGAGAAATAACCACACAATCATGACTCATTATTACCTAAAATCTAGTATCTATAGGTAAAGCCATTTCTTCAGAACAAAATTTGTGTTCATTGTTAGCTTGCAGAAAGAGAATCAAATCTGTTCTATGATTATAGCTTTATAAAGGTAATCTGCTGTATGGGGGTTTTAAGGACAATAAAGTAACATAATTTCTTTTGGTTCTTTTATCTAAATGTGTAAGAACCTTACTATTGACATAATCTAAAACAGGATTTCTCAGCCCTATTGGCTTACTGGGAGCCAGAACCTTAACAAGTACCTCTAAATGGCCATTTTATACCATATAAATGGTCATTTAAATGGCCATTTTATACCATGTAAATGGTCATTTATACCATTCACTGAAGTGAATTTTCACTTTTATGTACAGAAATGCTAACCATCAGGGCACCTAGGTGGCTCAGTTAAGCATCTGACTTCATCTCAGCTCATGATCTCATGATCTGTGAGTTTGAGTCCCACGTGTGCAGAGCCTGCCTGGGATTCTCTCTCTCCCTCTCTTTGCCTCTCCCCCACACATGTGTGCATGTTCTCTATCTCTCTCAAAATAAATAAACCTAAAAAAGAAAGAAATCCTAGCCATCTGTGTGCACAGATATTAACACCACCAGTCAATTCTCATTGACTGTCAGTAAAAAAATGAGTTATGTTCCGTAATTGCAATGTTATATAGAATAAAAAATTTTATTTTATTTTATTTTTCAACGTTTATTTTTTTGGGGGGGACAGAGAGAGACAGAGCATGAACGGGGGAGGGGCAGAGAGAGAGGGAGACACAGAATCGGAAACAGGCTCCAGGCTCTGAGCCATCAGCCCAGAGCCTGACGCGGGGCTCGAACTCACGGACCGCGAGATCGTGACCTGGCTGAAGTCGGACGCTTAACCGACTGCGCCACCCAGGCGCCCCTAGAATAAAAAATTTTAAATATGGCTCTGTTCCTTCTATATTAAATAGAAACCTCAAGTAAAATGAATGACATAAATGTTTAATTCTTTTAGTTTAAAGATAATAATACTACTTACATAACTAAAATATTCCTTTTTAAATAAATTTTGTTTCTTAAAATGGCAATAGCCAGGGGTAAATATTAATATATTTGAGAACTTTTCTTTTGTTTCAAACATAAGAACATCAAAATATAATATTGTGTTTGTCTTTTTCCTCATCATCATCGGGAATAAAAACAAAACAAAAGTGTTTTTGCCATCTAGTTTCTTTCTCCTTGGTAACAATCCAAGAATAATCCAAATTCATAATTTATATTTCCATAAAAGCTAGGAAATAAGATAAAAAAGACAAGGAGAGGCTTTCCAGTGCCTGGGCCTGCTGTATTCATTCTAAAAAGCTAATGAACAAGTTAAATTTTCTAGCAGTGCAATGTTCCAGATATAACCTCAAGAGGATAGAAACAGGAGTGCTTATATTTGGTCGTTGCAAGCATTGCATATTATAGAAAAGGACAGGTTGGGATATTTGTATATACATATAGAAATCAGTTGAAAATCCAATTTTGTGAAACAGGAATTCCCCTTTGAGGGAGGTAAAAAAAAAAATCCATATTTAAATGTAGTCAGCATCCAAGGTCATTCAATAATGCCTTCTTCACATTTCAGAAGAAAACATTCATCTTTTACTAGAGTAGACTGTATGGAATAAGAGCACACATACATACACATAAATAGCTTGTATCAATTTCTATGTTCTGTCTTGGAGGAAAGATGTGAGGCAGGTGAGAACTCTGATAAAAATAAGTAATTAAAACAATAGAATCAAAATGTGTTTTCCAAATTTCACTCATTAACAACCTACAATAATTGTAAAAATCTACTTGACTATGGTTTGGCATTCTCTTAATTTGAATGGTGCATCTGTAAAACATTTAATGTTGTTGCCAATAAAAATATAGTTTTTAGGGAATACTTATCTCTGGTTATTTTCCTTTAGCTTTTTTTTTTCTAAATTCACTTATTTTACTCCTTTTAATTTTAAACGTGTTTTACTAGTTCTTATCCAATATAGGGACTAAAAATAAAAGAGGCTAACAATTTTAGAGACATTTCACATGTTCCAAAAGACAAATTTATTTGACAGAGGCAAATCTGTTCAAAGTCACAAAACAGGGCTTCATCAGAGATTTCTGCAAAATTTGGCAAGGAATTGTACGTTGAGGGAAGTAATAGCTACCGACACAAAGTTAGATCCTATGTATATGTTATATTACTACTTCCTCATGATAAATCAATAAGGAAAGCATTAACATTCAAATTACATGAGTATAGAAACTGAGGTTTGTTGAGGTTAGAGACTTTTCTAAGATCACATACAGGTATTAAAAGAGAAAGCTAGGATAAAAACTAGAGTATGACTTTCTCTAAGACTCCTATAATTTCCCTGCTGTCTTCCAGAGCTTAGACACCAGTTAGGCTGCCCCCCCCCCCCGGCCCCGCCTCCACTCAGTGAGGTTCAGGGATAGTGAAATTATTTCCCTGAGAGCACACAACCAAGCGATGAAAGAGTCAAGCCAAACCAACCCTTGTTTGCTTCACTGTACTATATGGCTTTAGCTGATTTTCAAACCCAAGGCACACTTGAAATAAGGAGATGTTTCTAGCAAACTGATTTCTGGCATTAGGTTCCTTATCTTCAGCTATACCTAGCTTACTTTAAGTCCATTTGAAAGTTATATCAACTTTCCAGGCCAGGAAAACACTAATCAATGGATAACACTTTATCCATCCAGGTTTCATCCAGGTTTCATAAATATAACCTTATTGGACCTCAAGAAGGGCCTTCAATGTATATATTTACAAGTAAAAAATAGAGATTATGATAAAATATTCCATTCTAACTAATCTGTCAGGAAGCAAAGTCTCTATTCCACCTCTCTCAACGTGAAGATGTTCATTTCTTCATTCAAGTGCTCTAACACATTATGTCCTATGTAGCCACTATAGGTAAATGGACATCTTTGTTTCCTGATGGAATAGACTTTAATCACTGTCACATTCATAAAATTGTGTGCTGTTAGTAAACAAATGTTCCCTTTAATTCAAGTGTGGTTGAAGAAGATGTGGAATCAATGCCACTCACTCCCTGTGCTGTTCTGGAACATTTCTTCACACGGAAACCACCCTGCCTCCCAAGAAGGTGAATGAATGGGTAAGTGAAAATTACACATGTAAGTGCTGAAATAGTGAAACTTTCCATGACTTACCCTTGAATTAACTACTTCCAGGGAGATGTTCTGAGGCGGGGCACTTGGCACTAAAAGGAATAAAACAAGGTGAGGTGGTTACTGCCAAAGTCATAAAAGAGAAACAACAACCCTCTGTGAAAAAAGAAAGCATGACTTTCACAGTTCATGATGATAATTAGGTAGGCTGATCCAGGTGGCACTTCAAAATTTTCCTGGAGAGATGGAAAATAACTGCATCTGTTTATTTGTTCTTACTTGGTAGGCCAGTTATCCATATAGGGAGCCCCCAAAACTGTTTGGTAAGAAAGCACCTGCCGTGATACCATACACTGCCATTTAATTACAGCTTTCTTATTATTACCTTCCCAGAGAAGCCAATAAAAACACACCGGAGATTTCCTGGAGTGGTTTTAAAGGCTTAAGACGTTGTGCATTTCAGGATCTGCATGGTTTTATTATAAAATATGTCATTCTAATGGTCAGTCATGTTGCTTAATCCCCTTAATGCAATCTTTATTATCTCTTAAAAAGAGAAAAGATGAAATACATCCCTCTTTTTATCTGTATGTAATTAAACCTATGTGTCACAGATGCAAGCAAGTTATCAAATAACATTCAGTGAGTCAATTCCAGGAACAAAAAAGGCAGTTTATTTTTCTTTGTAGATTTTCTGTTTTTGTTTTTTTTTTTCTCTTGCTTGCATTTCGATTGCCCAATTCCTTCATGGGAAAAGGAAGAATATATACAAATTTCTTTATAATACTTGTAATAAATATTTACTATATCAAAAAGTGAATATTCTATTTTGTGAATAATTCAAAGACAACCATTCGCTGAACAGCTATTATGTGTAAGACACTATCCTAGATGTCTTGGATAAATCATAAACAATGTTTTTCGCCCCCCAAAAGAAATAAAAGTAGCATTCAATAAATGCTTAACATATGTTAATCTGTAAAATATAGTCCCTATTTGTTCATGACAAATTGATTAACAGAGAAGAATTGCTCTTAGCATTTTCAAGAATTTAAAGGCCATTTTCTGTCACATTGCCCCTTCTTTAACTTGAACTTGGACAATATCTATATTTCTATAGGGTACTTGTATTTTCCCCTTGAATTCATTATGCCCTACTCTGAGTTTACTTTCTGAAAGTATTCACCATGAGGGTATATGTCTCATTAATCTTTACAGCCTTCAAACTGACATTCAACTAATATTTACTGACTCAATGATTACATGAAAAAACAAATACTTACTTAAATATTAGCTCTTGGACCTTCCTGGACACCATAAGAATTTTAATCACTTTGTTTTGATTTTGAACTTCTTATCTTAGTACTTGATAAAAGCTGTGGCCAATGTAGTTTGTGATAAATAACACTCACTGGTCTTATTTTCATGAATTAGGTCAATAATCCTTTCAAAAAGTATTTTATAATTTAATAAATAGATTTTATTATTCAACTTACTTTAGCTCATATTATATTTCTTTTCAAATAAAGAATATAATTCCCCACAGGGACCAGGATTTTTGCCTCTTTGGATGCTGAATCCTCAGTATCAATAAGAGTGTCACATTCAGCAAATATGCGTTGAATTAATTAATTAACAGAGAGATTATAAGAAATAATAAAACTTTTTTTTTAATTTTTTTTTTTCAACATTTATTTATTTTTGGGACAGAGAGAGACAAAGCATGAATGGGGGAGGGGCAGAGAGAGAGGGAGACACAGAATCAGAAACCGGCTCCAGGCTCTGAGCCATCAGCCCAGAGCCCGACGCGGGGCTCGAACTCACGGACCGCGAGATCGTGACCTGGCTGAAGTCGGACGCTTAACCGACTGCGCCACCCAGGCGCCCCATAAAACTTTTTATCATACTTAGAGTTTTAGTCATAACAAGCTTTCTTTTTGCAGTTTTATTTTTTTTAATTAAGGTATAACATACATATAGTATAATGCACAAATCTTGTATGCATGATTGGATACAGTTGTATGTGTGTGGGTGTGTTCGCATTTAAACACCACCTAGATGAAGATTTAGAATATATAGTATCCTGGAAAGTTCATTTGAGTCCCCTCACAATCAATACCCTTCTAAGAGTAACCACTATTCTGACTTCTAACACCATCGATTAGTTTAGCTTGCTTTTAAGCATACTAAAAATGAAATCGGTTATTATTTCTAGGCTGGTTTCTCTTACTCGTTATTATTTCTTGAGATTCATTCATCTGTTGCATCTAGCAGTAGTTTTGGTACTTCTGTTTGTCTTTTATTGCTCCTACGTATTATATTATATGACTATTCTATTTTATATTTACTCATTCTGTTGATGAATGGCCTGCGACTACTTTAGATTTAAAACTGTGAGACTAAATCTCCTATGAAAATTTTTGTACATGTCTTTTGACAAACAACTACACTCATTTTCTTCTTTATATACCTTTATACACCTAGCAGTGGAAATCCTGGTAGAAGTAAAACCTCTATGGGGGTTTTACATATGTAAACAAGGAAAAATATACATATGATAAAATTTTCCAAAGTGGTCCCACCAATTTACACTCCCACTAAGAATGTAGCTAATGTCCAGAATCTCCGTATCCTTACCAACGTTTATTTTTTCTGAATCTCTTCCATTTTAGTCATTTCGTAGGTATGTAGTGTTTTTATTTGCTTTTTCTTGAGGATCAGTAATGTGAAGCATCTTTTCACATGTTTGCTGACATTTGGATGCCCTTTATCGTGGAGTTTTAAGAGTCTTTTTTTTTTACAGCTAAATTTCCTTTAAAACTCATCTCCAAAATTTTCATTCCTTTATCTTATATTCTATGTTCATGTTACTATGATTAAAATATTAAGATTTTTTTTCTCTATAGCTAAAATAGTCAGAAGGGCTCTTCTGCATTTGGCAAACTTCCTATCTTCTCGACTCTTCTCAAATGTTATAATAATGAAATGGACTTCCCTAAACTACCTTCACAGACCTGTGGACATTCCCAGTCTTCAGGAAAGGGAAGAATGCAGAGGCTTTAATAAGACCATCTCTACATTCTGTTTTTGTAAAAGACGAAGTATTAGAGTAGGCTGGAAATAATAACAATGTGTGTGATCAGAAAAACTAAACAGACTGACATCCTCACAATGAGGAAGAATTTAATATGATCCATATTTAAATTATGCTGTAAAGCATTGAAAATTAAACTAGGCACCAACTGAAAAATGCTAAGTGCTCCATCATATAATTTCACAAACTTCTAGCACATGGGCTGTTCTTGACTTATGTAATCAGGAAAAAAGTAGAGAGTTTATTCTACAGCATTTTTAGTTGTCAAACCCCACTCCCTCCCTCTATCAATTCCCATATTCCTGAGACATAAATAGATAAAGTAGATAGGATTAGATGCTTGGTGGAAGGAAGTAGGATCTACATTTATTTGAGCTTTTCTTTATTTGACTTCCCAAGATGTTTCATTGTCTCATGAAGCAAAGAGGAAAGCCATGGTTCATTGTTTTCTCTTCAAGATGTCAAGCAATTTATCATTTATAATAGGTTGGTTAAGGCTGATCAGAGATATTCAGTCTAGAAACTCCCTCAATATGGTGAAACATGCTGATTTGATACATATGATGATGATATATTCTGTATAGTAGATAAAGTTCCCACATTTGTAAATCAATCTCCATACAGTCAGGTACTTGAGTTCCTCCCCTTACCAAATGTGTGCTGTCCTGTACACATAATTTATGGATTGAAATAATTCATATATAATTATGAGCTTTGTACTTTCAGCAATTGATATAAGAACTTCATTATAGAATAAGGGAAACTCAAGATTTTTCACATTAAATCTTGCTTCTTTTCCTACTAGCTTGTGATCTGACTCTGCTGCTTACCAGGCTAGCTTTTGTGACCTCTTTCTAATATTAGTTTTGTCATCTGTAAAGTAGAAAAAAATCATAGCATCATAAGGATTAAAGATTATTAATGCAAAGTGATTAGAACAGGGCCTTGTACTAATAAGTACTCAATAAATACCAGGGATAACAGTAAAAAGCACATTCTTATAGTTAAACTTGTCTATGAAATTGGGTCCCTCTGCTTATGGGCACAGAGCAAGCTGACATGGAAGCTCATAAATATTAATTGATTCATAAAATCTTTTAATGACCTACACTCATCAACTGGTTCAAGAGAAAATATTTGGGAACAAATTGGTAAAACTAGTTACATTCCGTGCTATTAGACTGCCTAAATCTGATGCCCATCTCAAAGGGTTTAAAGAAGCAGATCGTTATATACAAATGATACAGTAAGTGGAGGGATTTGAATGAAAAACAATTTTTCTTCCCAGAAACACAATTAAAGCAGGCTAAATTAGAATGAGAGCTTATCAGGACAGAAATCTTTATAAGCATTTTAGCATAACAGGAAGACCATTGGGATAATTAATTCAGAAAAAAACCCATTATTTGTATTTCATTTTTGCTTTTATTTAATTTTTCTCTGGTCCCAATATCAATTTTATGCTATCCTCTGACCTGATAAGAAACATGGTACCCTCAATAACATGCATGTATTTAGGCACAGTCATCTATTAAATTAGTCACATAAATGGAAAGTTCTAAAGATAAGTCTACACATAAAAACAATTATACTGTTTGGCTTAGCTATCTGATTAATTCAGTAAATATTTACTGAGATGATGAATGCAGAGATGGACATAACAGCATTCTTAACATTAAAGAACGTGTAGTATACAGAGAAAAAGTGACACGTACATTGTCATAGATAATATTTATTGAACACTTAAATATATGCCATGTTCATATTTTTGGTGCTTACATGGATTAGCTCATCTAATTTCCACAACATCTCCCTTTTATAACATCCAGAAAGTCAAGGAGAAGACAGCTTTACAACTGAGGACTAGAAAGTAGCAGACTATGAAAAGTGATTAAACATATATCTTTGTAGGATGTGTGACTACAGCATGGGCAGCTTCAACAGAGAGAAGACATCAGCAGGAGCAAAAAGAAGGGGACTGGATAATAAGAGAGAGAAAGTCAAGAGTGCAGGGGTTTTTGTTGGAAATCCAAAGAGATGAATTGATTGTGAAGGAGATTGCAGACAAGTTTCAGGAGCCCACTCTAAGGGGCCATTCAGTTCCTGCTTTCTCCTATCAAATGCATCGATAAAGAGAAGTTGGCATCCTTTGTACAATGATGCTTGCTGGGTTAGGGTCATGAAATCCTTTTATTTAGTGACAGGCATTTTCTAGGTCCTAACTGTTACAACACTTAGAGATAATCATTCTTGGACTAATGAGTAATAATCTATCTCTCTCACTTATGACATTTAAAACCAAAGTGGAGAATAAGGCCACAGTATTACAGTTCAGAGTGTGAATGAAATCTACATAAATTATGTAAAATATTCATTTTCATTTGTTTTCCTTTTATTTTTATAATTATAAGTTGTGAAGTAATTTATTCTGCCAATAAATACTCTATTCCATCTTCAATAACAGAATCAGATGGATGGGCATTAAAAACGATGCTGAAGTGGTGTTACATAAAAATTTTTTTAAGTTGAAATTGCAAATGAGCATCACTCCTGTGTCTTCACTGCACTGTCCTTAATAACATGCATGACCTTCCTCATTCCACTGATATTGTGTGAAATATCCGCCCAGATACTTTTCTAGATTAAAGAATGATGGATTGGTTAAGGAATCACAAGGTAAAGTCTTTTTTTCCCTTGAAATTCAGCAGATCAATAATTTATAGAATTATATACAACAACATGGAAACCACTGCTGAAAAGAGATAGCTTGTTGCCTTTTTAATATTCATAGAGGCCATCTCTGCATCTCTACACCTGCTTGAATTTCCACTAGCCCCACATCATATACTCTGTTGTCCTTTATTTTCACTTGTCATTAAATTTCCCAACATTTCATTATCCTTTTCTTAGATGTCTAGTTTCCTCTGCTACTGCTTTGCCAAATCCATCTTTTTCATTAAGAGTTCTTCCTCTCTTTTATGACATTTAAGAAAATATGTCTAATATTTCATTTGTTGGGCAAGGTACAGCTAAAATTATGCACTTTCATATTTAGTTTTAATACCTGAAATAATGGATTATTTGGCCTAAATCTTATGACATATTTTCAAATTAAGAGGTATACATAGGAGGGCTGTCCATCATTTACACCTTTAGTCATCCGCTCCTCTTTAGAATGAGAAATAAAAAGAAGCACACCAATGTAAATTAGTCCACACACATGCACAAATGTGTCAGTGTTTACAGACATTAAGAAACCACCCCCCAAAAATAATTTGAACTCTTAGGAGTAGTCCCACGTTTGAAGATAACCTACTAATATGATAGGAAAAGACAGGATAAAATTGGCAGAGAGGGAAAGGATAGGACCTGAGGTCCCTGGGTGGAGAAAAACACATATTTTGGAGCAATGCTGGGAGGAGTGTCTGACCACAGCACGCCCCCTCAGGCATAAGGTTCCTCTTAAGAATGTAACAGATCCCACCCATTCTGGATTTCAGGTTTTCCCTTCAGGTTTCCCTCAGGAATTTGACAAAAGACCTAAGTATGGCCATAGGCTACCCCTCATACAATGGAAACCAGACAATCAGGAATTGACAACCTAGCACCTAGAGCTATCAAGCCAATAAGGGTAGAGCCTGAGAAGGAACAAGGGGAAAGGCTGGGGGAGGGTTGACCAGAACCTTATAAAAGCAGGACCCTTGCCTACAGTTCTTGGGCATTCACTTTCAAATGCCCCCTCTCTGTAAAAGAGAGCTTTCATACTATTCCTCCTTTCTAATCTTATACTCTAATAAACTTTTGCCTGTTGCTCATTTTGTGTCCACCTCTTCATTCTTCGAAGCAGCAAGACAACGAATCCTGGGTATTGTGGTAAAGAATCCTGCAACACTAGGACATCCTGACACAGAGCATATAATGTACCTTTTGAAAGAAAGTTTAAATTTAACTATAATAGATAGTTTGAGTGAAGTAGCTAAATTTTTAATTAATGCTAATATATGAAATTAAATTTTAGTTCAAAGGCCTTAAACATGCAATCCATGGCATACACGCAGTATTATTTCATTACTATCAAATATGTGAGTCAAGTTTCACCATTTAACACTTACCATCAGAAAGTGTAACCACTGTTATGTCATCAGTAGATACTCCTGGCCCGTAGCGATTATAAGCTAGGAATCGAAGAGTATATTCCGTGAATTTTTTCAGGCCTTCCAGCTTATAAGATAGTCCATCAACCTCTATATTCTGGAGACATAAAATGTCAAACTGTTATTCAGGAGGCACATTAAAGCAGAAATGGCATCCATTCTGCGCAATCAGTGAATTGGATATTAGACTCTTACTCATAGAACCACGCTCTAGCCTTATAATGAGTTGTTGTAAAACCTAACTTGTGACACACACTCCCCCACTACATTCCAAACCACTCTGTAGACTCTTAGTTAAAATAGCACCATGCTATTTTTACAGTCATTAAGTTCCAATGTGTTTAACACCACCCAATACATTGAATGGTATGCAATATTCCACCCACACTGATACTGACGGGCAGAAGGCAACCTGTGAATCCATGGGAACAGATCGTTACTCCTCTCCCCTAAATGGAATAATTCACTAAGAAACAGTGGATTTCTTCCTTCCCTTGCTGAAATATACCCATGGCTCTTGAAACTGACAGATACTTTGCCATAATCTTTATCTCTCACAATGCTGTGAGGTGGGTGGGAACTGTTCAGTACGTCACAGCAGCAGAAATGAGGTACTGGAGGTGAAGGTCATTGAGAAATCAGAGCCAGTTTGCTATAGAAGACCCATTATTAGCTCTCCACAATGATGCTCACACTCACATTTGTCTCAGGTAGCATCACTTCTGAATTTTTTTAAGTGGATTGGTGAAATGCATCATGGGAAAGACAAAAATGTATAGAAAATGGAGAGAATGGAAAGCTGAAAACAAGGGCTAAATAGCATGGGGACAGAAAACAAACAAACAAAAAAACCAGGATGAATGATTGTATAGAAGGAGCTCTTAGTAATTCCTATTGCTCAATATAACTTAGGACTTGAACTATTTCTGAATAGGGCTGTTGCAAAACGTCTTTAAAAAGCAAAATCCCTATCATGCAGTTTATGTGCAAGCAGGAAGACCACAGTACGCTTGGCAAGCTTCACAACATATCCTGAGAACTCTGGTATCCCAAGATAGGCTCTTGATTTTTCTTATTTACCTATGCACTTGTCTATATATCTTTTCCCACATGAGGTTGAGAAACCGGAAGTAAACATCTCAACAGTCATATATATGTCACAAAATAGAATTGCTGACTTTCATGTGTCTCCCCCTAAATCTAATTTGCCTGTTTTCAAGTATCTGCGCAAACCATAGATTACAAGCAACTTGAAAGGAGGCAAGTAGCCTTCTGGAGTGAGGCTTATTGAAAACAATGAAAAGTGATAGGTGACTACAACCTAATGGTGAGGAAAGGACAGAAATAACTCAAATATATAGAATGAAAGCAGCAAGCTGACTGAGGCCTTTGAATAAGAGATCAGTCATCCTTAAGACAAGGACTGACAATGCAAATGGTTTCTAGGACCAGATAAGTTCACATAAATGTGGCTATGCTGGCCCGGGCCACTAGCTATTACAACTAAAAAACAAACAAAAACAAAAACAAAAACAAAAACAAACAAACAAACAAAAAAAAAACATTCTTTGTAGTGATTTCATTTCATTGTCCATTTGCCTCTCTTACAACCAGAATTCAATTAAATTTCAATTAAATTGCTTAACGTTTCTAATAATCAGTATTTAAAAAATATCAGCTGTCCAATTAACATGGTGGACTGGACCAAGAGTTTGCAGATCTCCTCCTATGCCTCTGGTCCTAGGACCATCCAATAGGTGGCAGCACTGGGCCCATTCCCTTGCCTACCTGTTCTTTTCCCGTGGACACCTCAGTGCAGAACAATCTGTAACCTTGGACTGGACCATTTGCATAGGCAGGGGGTTCCCAGGTAATAAGAATTGAGGTAGGTGAGGTAGATACAGCTTGCAGGTTTTCTACTGGCCCTGGAACTTGCACTGTGTACAAAAGAAATTGATTAGTATGAGAGGGTTCTCTTCCTCGAAACAAACAAAATTACATCTTTTACAGTTTAGGGATATTATAGCCCTATGAACTACTTTAAGAACCAAAAGCGATGAAAAAATAAAATATAAAGTAATGAATTTTAGAATCATTTCACTTTGAAATTCAGGAGAGGGTTTATATTAATCTAAATTACGTATTTCATTTTACAGTTGAGGAAATTGGTCAAGGAGTCTAAATTACTAGAAAAATGATGGAAAAGGAGTGGGATTGTTAATCTAAGTTCTTAGTATGGAAAATTTTCCACTATGCCAGCATGGCTTTGCTTGTGTATGAATAATAACTACAGAAGGAAAAGAGAAAATACAATTAGAATACTTGTATATCATGATTCTACTTATAATTCAAATGAACAGCACAGCTATGGATAATTTGCCACATCTGTATTTAAGTCAGCATTTTAAAATCTTGCCCAATTCTATGTCCTTTAAATTAATATTGAGATTTAATTTTCAGTTTTACTTTCTAGTATTCTATTTCCTCTCATAACTGCTACTTTACTTAATCAAGAATAAGTAGCTTGTTCATTAAATAAATTATACAGCACAGGTCCACAATTGCTTAACCAAAACACTTGCGTCCAGATTTGTTTTGAGATCTGGAAATTTTCAGATTTTAGAAAGACAATATGATGTATGTACAATGTTACATTTAACATCCCAAGTGGGGTCTCTGTTTGCACCCTGTTATCGAATCATACATTTGCTGCAAAATATATGATATTCACATCAGACAAAATTATTAAGACTATGCTTAGCGTAGCATAAGGGCAAATCAGTTTTGGGTATGTCAGGAGTCAAGAAATTCCTTCAAATTCCAGATTTGCAAATTTTCAATTTGTACATACTTTTATATTTATAGACCTGAATACATAAATATGTGGTTTGTAAATTGTAAATGCCATACATCGTAATCTAAATTAAATAGTTTCATCATCACAAATATGATGACAATTTTAACAAACATGCTGTATATTTTCCCCAGCCTTAGATCCCATCTACCTTTGAACAGATGCACCTTGTAGGCCTCTAAATAGAATTTTGTGAGCTTAACATCCACAGTAAAAGTCTGAAACTGTGGCTGACAGATATCTGATAACACAACTCCTTAGATCAGTGCTGCACCTGTGTCCCTGGATCAGTCATTTTTCAGAATTGATTCCATGGAGCCCAGGCTCCTTAAGGCATCATGGCTCATGCATTGTAGAAAAATGCGTGGAAAAATATGTATATATTTATATATCAGAAACATGTGTTTTATGTCACATTCACATATTTCCCACCAGTCCCCAAAGCTTGAGCATCCTTGTTATTGACATTTGCCTTCTTTCATCTTAACAAATGATTGCTGACAACTTCTCACAAACTTACTTGAAAATCATTTTAAACTTACAGAAAAATTTAAGAATGCAAATATTATGTTGAACACCTGTATTCCCTTTACCCAGATATACATATATTCTCAGGGCACCTGCGTGGCTCAGTTGGTTAAGTGTCTGACACTTGATTTTGGCTCAGATCATGATCTTGTGGTCTTGAGTTTGAGCCCCACATTGGGCTTGGCCCTGACTGTGGAATCTACTTAGGATTCACTCACTTCTGCCCCTCCCCCACTTGTGTGTGCATGCTCTCTCTGTCTCAAATAAACTTTACCAAAAGAGATACACATATATACATATGTGTATACATATACACATATATACATTGTATGTATGTATATACATACATACATACATACAAAAGAGATACACATATATACATATGTATGTACATATACACATACATACATGTACACTTATGTATATATATACACATATATGTATATATACTCTTTCTCCCTATATACATATATATTACATATTTATTATATATATAGAAAGAGACAGAGGCAGACAGAGAATCTGAATCCATTGTTACACACACCATAGCTCTTTACTCCCAAATATTTTAGTGCATATTTCCTAAGCATTAATTTGTACATAAATAATATTAACTTCAGTACATTTCATATTAGTACAACACTTTTATCTAATCTTCATCTGCATTCCAATTGTGTCAACTGACTCAATAATGTAACTTATATAGCATTTCCTTCTCCAGTTCAATCCAGTCTAGGGTCAAGTTTGCATTTCAGTGCCATAACCTCTTTAGCTGGCTTTAAGCTGGAACAGTTCCAAAATCCACCTTTATCTTTTAGGTCATTTATACTTTTGAAGGTTATACCCCTTTTTTAAATTAATTATTTTTTTATTAAAAACAATTTTTTAACATTTATTCATTTTTGAGAGACAGGGAGAAACACAGAGCATGAGCAGTGGAGGGGCAGAGAGAGAGACACACACACAGAATCCCAAGCAGGCTCTAGGCTCTGAGCTGTCAGCAGATCCCGACTTGGGGCTTGAACTCACAGACTGTGAGATCATGACCTGAGCCGAAGTCAGAGGCTTAACTGACTGAGCCACCCCGGTGCCCCTAGCCCTTTTTCTAAATTCATAGAATATTCTTTATTTGGGTTTTGTTTTTGTTTCTTCATGTTGGATTTAGGTTATGCATTCTAGACCCAAATGAGACATGAGTGATGTCTATACCTCAGGGTGTCATGTCCAGAGGCACAAGACCTCTTTCCCTCCATGGCTGGTTATGTTAGTTCTGAATACTTGGTCAAGGTGCTGCCAGATTTCTCCACTGTAGCATTAACTGGTCCCTCTGTATCCCCCCACCCCAAGCCCCTCTCCATTGCTTATAGCCAATAAGCAATTTGTGGGGAGATACTATGTCAGGGCCATATAAATATCATGCTATTTATCAAATTCTCTTAGAATTAGCATCTATTAATAGTTTTGATATATCAATTTTTAGCATGGTGGTTACAAAATGTTTTGTTTTGTTTTTTTTCTATTCAAGCACTTCCTCCAAATTAGCCACTTGGCATACTACATTCTATTATAAGCAAGAACCCATATGTCTATTTATGTTATCTCTTATTGGTATGGGCACATGGATTTCTACTTTTTTATGGTCTATAATTCATAATTGTCTTAAAGACATTTTGGTGTTCAAATTGTCAAGTTCAAATCTGGCCAGTGGGGTCCTCTTTAAGTTGGTCCTCTGTCCTTGTAATATGACATATCATTTATTGAAGAACTTTTTGTCTTCCTGGCATAATATATTCCAGGCTCATCTTGGTCCTGCCCCAGTTCTGGAATCAAACATGTCTCTAAATATTTCTCATTCCTTTTAGTGGGGAATGGTATTCAAGACAAACATCTGGATGTCAGCTCTGTTCACTGCTGCTTAGTTGTCTTGCTGCTAGATCCTTCTGGTGAATGAGAAACAAGAATGTATATATACTTATGCATACACAAATGCATTCACACACACACACACATACACACACACACACACACACACACACACACACACACACACATATATATATATATATATATATATATATATACATATACTCAAATATATAGGTACACAGGTGCATTTTTCATGACTTGACAGAGATGCCTCCCATTCTAATCCATCTCTCCAGAGTTTGTTTTTGTCTTCTCCATTCCTCTTTTATGTCCTTTCTTCCATAGGGAAGATTCTGGCTTCCAAAGAGTTGTATTCTGACAGACACTTTATGAGAGTGCCTTCATCTTGGTACTCTTCCAGGAAGGGGTAGTTTTTCTATGAAAAATTCCTTATTACACAAAGAAGACTTCAGTAGATAATACTGAACAAAGTTCACATTGATAGAATTAGAACTGTATTATGTTGACCCAGACATTTTGTTTCATGGGGGGAAAAAAGAAAAATAAAAACTTGCTCACTGACATTGTTCAACTGGATTTTCAAAATAGGATGTTTTAAAGAACAGTAACAACAACAACAACAAAAATCACTAGAATTTGCATGCTTCTATGATTACTGATATATTCACAATGACAATGTAAACATTTCTAGAAGAAAGGTTTTCTGATTTGGAATCTATTATTTTTCTGAAGAAGAAAGACAAAGAAAGGAGCAAAAGAAAGAATTGAGACTGAGTGATCTACTTAAGTTATATGTTAAGTGTGACATAACCAGGATTTTGAAATTTTCACAGAGCATATATCCCTGTGGCCCAGTGATGTATAAAGTTTTAACTGAATGTGTCTCTTCTTGGTCTCCTATGGCTAAACTGAAAAGGCATTACCTATTTAAAAAAATGGCTCATTATGGAATCCAAGACTAAGATTTAAAAATGGCCAACATCCATTGGAATGTTGGGAGCTATTACTCCTGCTGTGAGATGTTACCTTCAAGGAAAGTTTCCCATCTCCAAAAGGCTCAGGAGATGAGTGGGTTTCCCTTTCTTGGAGAAAGGAAGGGAAGGCAATGTTTGGGAAGTTTCCGCTCTTCTGTTCCACTGGAATACAAAGGGGTGATGGGAAGAAGAGCCAGACACCTGTGAATCTAGAAGGCTAAGCTGAGGGTGCCACCTAGCATAATGGGGGTGGGAGTGAACAGCCTGCCAGACTAGACTCTTTGAGTATGTCACAATCAGATATGACAACCTCATAGCCACTTTCATCAGGCATCGTGAGGAGAATAGACAGCCTACATGGATGTCCACAGCTCCAGGCAGCATCCCCACAAAAGCTACCAATAGGCCACACTCCTCTCCTGCTGAGCCCACCAAGGGCTGCTTAGCGTCCAGGTTCCTGGTCAGGAGAATGGTCAAAACTCTCCCCTTGGGTTTCCAAATAATAATAGCAGTTGTCTTTTTCACGGGGATATGCACAATGTTAGGTATATACAACATATTCAATAAGTGTGTGTCAAATGAATGACTTTATATACAATTACCAAATGTTACCCTAAATAACAAGCCTAAAATAAAAACAGCTACTTTAACAGTCTAACTCATTTGATTTTGTTAATTCAGGATTGTTACTACA